TACTTAAGATCCGGAATGGATTCTGAAAGCAGCAAGAAGTTTTCACCTCATGCAGTGGTGAGTCAAATTTCAGAATATATATTATGGAATATTTATGGAATTCCAGGAGTACAAGGGAAAACTTTCCAAGGAAGCTGCGAAATGTCATTACTGCGGAATGCATCCATGCGACAGAATGTTTCGTTTAGTCGTAAATGAGTCTGAATCAGTGATGGCGGTTCTACAGGTACTAGGTATCCGCAAACGATTTCATCCTCAATTGCCAGCGTTTTAGGCCAACATAGACTTTCTAGCAATGCCGAACAATGCGGTTAAAGAGTTTGTGGATCAGGTGTGAATGTTTATTCAAATTTCAAATATCAATGTGATCTCTACAGGTTCTGACCAGCTCTGGAACCCTTGCGTTAGGCTGCGCAATGGAACACGCGACCGACGGCTTCGACTATGTGCTTTGCGTCCTGTCCAGTACCTGCTATGTGCAGTAAGAATTCATTACTACAATGAAGACTTTAAAATAATGGTAAAGTTTTGCAGGGAAAAAGGAAGAGATTCAGAAAATGCAGTGCCGGAAAAATGTATACCGTTTTGCCGACGCCGTTGATTGCGGTGACTTCATCAAGAAGGGGGTAATCATGGTGATGGGCTATGGAATGTTGCAGTTTATGTGCTTCCTTCTTCGTTAAGTAAACACTTTCAAGCACTGTGTTCACAACTCGTTCGCTACTGCAGAGATATTGTTGAAATGCCGATGAAGCTGTCAGAGTGGCCCTCCAACAAAATGATTGCCATAATGATGTCCTTGAAATACTGGTTTTGACCGTGACGTGGCTCTTTTCGGACCTCACAACCGTTGCAATTTGCACAAACGAATTAGCAATTGCAAGCTTACGGTATTAATATTATAATTCATTATAAGTATACTCTTAACTGTAAGAAAATCGAAAAATGTACTGAAAGATTTAGTGCGGTCCTGCGACAAGCCAATCTAAAGACAAACCTTTGTTTCAACTGACTTGGCTTCGGGAAGGCGAAACTTTGTGGCCTGATTAAGGCCGCTCGCGCCCGCGACGCACCTGCGTCTCTCTCGCACTAGTGCTCCGTAATCATTATATAGCCTTAATTAGCTCACGAAGCCCCGCCTTCCCGAAACCGAACCTGTTCAATCAATTGGTATCAGTCAAGCTTAAATTGCTTTCTTACCTGCTTGAATACACACAGAGTTCATATCTCGCAGCAGTAATTGTACTATGTCATAAAATCAGGACGAATTTTTATTTCCTTGACAATTCCTTAAGACGTCCTTGCCTTTTCTTCCGCTTGGTAACTTTTGTAAACATTATCTTGCGGGCCTTTTTTCTTGTCATGATTGTATTGGGTCATTACAAGGTCTTTCCATCTTTTTGACTTAAAAAACCACAAAGAACAAAGACTAGCCAAAACAAGTGGAATGAAGATATGCTATTCAAAACTATCCGATGCAGCTTTTCTCCTTCTTTGAATTTTTGTTTAAATCCACTCCATGCGTAACCTGAAATCCAAAATTTGACCTGTGAAATTCAAAATTTACCTATCGAATAGAAATTCGATTATTCGAATGAAGCATTCGAATATATTTGCATTCAAAATTAAGTATTCGGAGTTCTTCCATTGGGTAACTATAACTTTGAATAATTGAGTAAATTGGGTTTCGAATAAAATTCGAAAACTTGAATAATAAAAAACGAGGATTTAAATAGATTTCAGAATGTTTTATTTGAAGTTATATGCTATTCGAGTTGCTCATGCTTTTGGTTCACAATGAGCACTCTTGCTTTTAAAACTCATGTCGCAACTCTGTTCTTTAGCTTGGAGACTTTTCGCGAATAGTGTATTGATGTATTTCAAGTAAAGAACATTGCAGCTGTGGTGGAGGATTAGACGGTCGCTAAATTCTGCAGTTTTATCATCTTGCATAAAAATTTTATTCAGCAATAGTACAGGATAATTCTGTTATCACAGTGCATCCAAGATTCTCAAGTAGGCTTGCAGACACTTTAACGCTGGGAGTTGTCAGCCTATCAACTACGATGAAGGCTAAAACCGGACGAAGAAAATCCACACTGAGAAATGCGAGCTTTGATTACGACAGGCCCTGCGCATACTTCGACCGACAGTCGTACGTGATTTGCCACTACAAGATGCTAGTACGGGTTGGAAGTTGGTACAAGGGGGTAAGGCAAGGTGTTGACTATGAATAAAACTGTATTTTGTCGATTTTATCAATTTTTTGGGAAATTTTGAGCTACGAGGCTAAGAATCCGGTGAGGGGTGGGGGAAGGGGTAAATGAGGGTGCTGATTATGAATAAACATTTATTTTGATGCTTTTATGAATTTCTGGAAAATTTTGAACTACGAGGCTGGGAGTTGGAACAGGAAGTAAATGAGAGTGCTAATCAAAAATAAAATCTATTTTATCGATTTCACCAATTCCTAGAAAATTTGAGCTAGGAGTTGGTATAGGGGGTGTGGGGGTGCTGAATATGAATGGATCGGCTTTAGCCGAATCATGTGAGCAAGTTTTAGATCTGGTTGCTCTAGTTATTCGATAAATCATTCGAATATTCATTCGAAATATCATTCAATATTTTTGATCTTCCAGTTTTATTCAGGATTCATTCATTTGAAAATTTTTGAATCTCAAATTTATTTGATATTGGTTAATTCGAAATTTTTCACTTTCGAATTTATTCGATATTAATTCATTCGATGAAAAATTTCGAAATTACCCAAGTATCGTTGGTACATGAGCGACTTCAGGAACCTGCAAACTCTAAAAAAATTCTTTCGGTGTTTGATGCGTGAGTAACAAAAGCAAGAAAACTTTGAGGAATTTTTTCTCATTATCACTGGACGGTGAAACCACGGGTTCGAAATCTCGGCGCTAGTGACCACAAGATAACCAGATCAGGGGCTAGACTAGAACACATTACTTATCACGATTCCTATCCTATCGTACTGCCTGTGCCTCACATCTAGGACACTGCGTGGGTTCAAGGATCCGATCTGGCAAGTTTGGCCAAGGGCACGAAATTCTTATCTCGATAGGTCGTACTGTGCTACTGTTTGGGCCATGCTAACCAACTTCTCATGAAGCACGGGCTGGATGCTCTCACCTGTCAGGGCCGTGTATAAAAATGAAACTCGCACGAACAACGAGCGGAATGAAAAAGATCACCTCAGATACGCACTTGTAGCCCATAGATACATTTGTGAAGGAACCCAGAGCTGATTAGACATTTTCGCATGTATCTATGAATTAGGCTGGTGCAAAAATGAAGCATCTTCGCGACTGCAGAAAAAAAGCGATCAAATTTGCGAGTTTTGTACGTTACTGTAGTAAACTCAAACCCAAACTCTAAAGTTTCTCAAATTTTTGTGATTGAACATCTGAGAATATTTGCAAAAAATGTCGACAAGATGTCCCACGCTCAAGCTTACATCAATAAAGTGGGCATATGGGCAATATTGCCCATAGCAGGGCAATTGCCTTTTCAAAGGAGAGTCATAACTACATTAACTGCAACTCTACCATTCTTAATTCCTCAGCCACTTCAGCCTGATTATTTTTGAAAATATAATTATGTGTAAGCTATGCGAATTTTCTACCTATGAGCTATGTTCAGAGGGTTGTTATCAAATGGGAATCCTGGTCAAAAAAGAGATGTAACTGTCATGAACTCTCGTTCATGATGAACGTTGATTTAGCGGCAAGCGCGCGACGCGCGTTGGCGAGTATAAAAGCTGCCTAAAGCCAAGAGCGGGGCTCTCTCGCGCTTTCATTCTTTTAGCTCCCGACACAGGGTCGGTCCTCTAAGCTTCCCCTTCTTTATGTCCATCGTCTCTGACTGTAAAGCTACTATTGAAATATATAGCGCCCGCCGGAAAGGGAATGGAAGTAGGTACCTAGTATTGTCCCAGCTGAGTTATGAGAAGTAATAGAAGTTGTTGAGTGGGAATGGAAGGAAAGTAGGATGCTAGTAGTAGGCGGTGTTTATTGTAACAATAAAGTTATTTTGGTTGTGTATCATATATATTTGGACTGTAAGCGCAGTTCAAAACATGGTGCATCGGCCGAACTGGTAAAGGCCGGCATTGAAAAGCGTGGTAAAGGAACGCATAAAACTACTGCAAAAAATATTTGTGAAAGTTGCTCTAGAAGGACCCACTAGAGCATTACAAACGACAGAGTCAAGGAGATCTAAGTTTCTGAGGTAAGTCTCTTCAATTACGGTGTTGCGTCAAGCCTGATCACCTTGGCACAGCACTAATTCGCATTGACTCACTTCTGTTTTATCTTTCTTTATTCTTCGCTCCTTCATTTCTTCTCTCCTTAGCGCTCTCAATACAATTTGCAAACTTTGATGTTCTTCAGTAAATATAAGCAACGCGCGTCTTACTCATAATTATTTGAAAGAGGCAAGGCCACACCTTTGGAGAAGGAAAACTCGTAGAAAACCGGGGAACGGTAGCCCTATTAAAAAATACCGAGAGAAGGACAACTCGTAGAAAACCAGGGAGCGGTTGCCCTTAGATAAGAAACCGATGGAAGGAAAACCTGTAGAAAACCAGGCCTGGGTAGGCCGAAAACCCCCTAGAGACGGAAACTCGAAGAAAACCCAGGGTTCCTCCGCCCTGCACGAATGACCGCGGTTTTGTTTGAAAACATGTGCCCAGTGTGGCATTCTTGAAAAGATGACAGAAAGCAAGCAGAAGCTCTAATACATTGTTCTAATATTTGAATTTGTTTGTGATAGGGATTTCTAATGAGATCGGCGCCATGGGAGGAAAAACATAGGAGGCATTTATGACTCACGTGAGAAATTCTTTGATAAAGGATCTAACAACATTAAGAAGCTTCTATGAGAAAGATATCAAACGTACATTCCAATGTTATCTCACTGAAACGTGTATATATACACGCGCATGCAATACGCTGTTCATGCACTCGACATAGAACGTCATGAGTACTGCGCTAAACTTAAAGACGGTAAAGCAAAAGCTTTCCCGCCTGGTTAACACATTATCAACTTCACTGAAAGAAGCAGAGGAATACCAAGAGCCCTGGCAATTCCCAACGGAAGCCAAAGAGCTCCAACATTTTCTGCTTCTGAAATCTATAGTTTTGAAAAACTTGTGTAAGCGTCTGGAAGAGCAAAAAGAAAGGGTATGGAAGACGTACGAAGACTGTACTTCGAAAATCTATGAAATGCTGACCGACAGTGAAAGAAAAGAAATAGGAACATCGATTGAAATAGAGTTCAATGCTTACTGGGAGGACAAGAAAGGAGATGACCTGCTCCAACTTGCAACAGAATTATACGGTAAACTGGAAAACAGATTAGTTGAGATAGAATGCCAGGAAGCATCACTGAAATTTGAACTCATGGAAGTAAAACACGAAAGGGAAAATGAGGTCCATAGAAACGAAATGAGATCTGAATCGACATTCACCTTTGGTAGACACCTCTTGGGTGGAATAAAAATCCCGGAGTTTGATGGGAAGGCAAGTGAATTTGACTCCTTTTGGGAAATCTTTGAAGAAATAGTGGACAAACAACCTTATTCCAACATAGAGAAGTTTTCGATCCTGCTAAACTGCTGCAAGGGGGATGCAGCAAGAGCACTCAGAATGTTCCCCAGGACAAGCGAATCCTACGATAAAGCCATTCAGCAATTGAAAACGCAATTCCAGGATCCCAAAAGAGTAACCATGATGATGATAGGTCAACTTAAAGCAATGAAACAATGCAGAGACGAACCTAGATCACTCAGGAACAACTTAAACGATGTACAAGCCATCATTGCAACCCTGCGTAAAAAAGGGGAAGTAGTAGACACAACGAATATGATAAGCATGGTTTTGGAAAAGTTTAGTAAGGCCGTTCAGGATGAAGTGATGCGTAAAGAGTTTGATTCAGGAAATGACTGGAACATGGAAGACCTTCTGAACAACATTTCTGCCATAGTTAGGCGTCAGGAGCATTTGGAAGGGCGTAAACAACCAGTGGAAAAGGGTGATGAACTCACGATATTCCAACTTCGAACTGCCATAGCATGTACAGGATGTGGCCGTAATCACCTATTCCAATCATGCCCCATATATCGTACTCCAGAGGAGAAAATTGAAAGATTAAAATCTCTAAAGGCCTGTTGGAAATGTTTCAGCAAGAAACATCATACGAAAGACTGCCGCAGACCTAACTGCTCCACTTGCCATGGATTTCATAGTGTTATAATTTGTAAAACGCCGAAGAATGAAATTGGCACGAACAGAAACTGGAGCCGCAGGACGAAAAGCCCAGGAAAGAGCTCTCCGAGACCATGGGTACGAAACGAAGAAGTAAGACATGGAATGATGCGTCAAAGTGATAGACATAAATCACCTAAACGCATAACTGAGACCAGGCAGGAAAGCGGAACAAATTTAACTCCGAAACCCAGACTTACATCACCTAAGGCGAGAGTGCCCAGAGTAAGGTTCTCCAGATCGCCAACTCCACCTAGACAGAACAGAAATAATACCAGAAATTGCTATACGATCAACCTCTCTGCAAAACAACCAGAAGAAAACTCCGTGATGTCTAGAGTGGAAATCAGTGAACATGCTCGACTTATGATTGTGCCTACGCGTATATTCAACAACGCTAACAGTAACTTTGAGGTAATATATGCGCTGCTAGACTCAGCAGCAGACCAATCATTTATATGCAAGTCTGTATTGAAAAGGATGCAGATTGACATAGAGACAGAAATGGAGGTAACGGTAACGACCTTTGGAGGCCGAGCAGAAAACAAAAGAGTAGGGCACGTTAGTGTAACCCTATTCAATAATGAGGGAGAAGGAATTGATGTTGACTTCCTCACTCACGAAAAAATATTGCCGAAACTTCACTTGGAGGAAATCTCACGGGAAGACTTCGCGACGCTGAAGGAATACTTTGCGGAGTACAAGGAAGTACCCACAACAGTGATTCCTCAAATTTTAATCGGCATAGACTATTTCAATATAGTCATCAAAATGCACGCCCCTGTGATACGTCTACCTTCAGGTCTGTTCGTAACGTCTACATTCTTTGGTCCCGTAATATCAGGGCGGTCGCAATCGTGGAATCACGAAGACAACGAAAGATACTACGAACACGTGCTGAGGACGTACACAGTAAGTACAGATGATAATATAATAGAGAAAGATAATATGGACTATAGCGATTTATGGAAGTTACAAGGAGTAGGCATAGAAGAATTCGCAGACAGAAACGAAGAAAATCAACGGATAATAGAGGAATTCTATGCAAAGGTAAGGTTTGAGAACAACAAAATCTTCGTCTGCTTTCCTTGGAAAAGTAATAAATGCAATTTGGCAGACAATTACACCCTAGCAGTAAGCAGATTGCATCAGCTTTTGAAAATGAAGGATAAAAACCCTCAATGTTGGAAAGAATACTGCAAGATTCTGGACGACCAACTCACGAAGAACTTCGTGAAAGAGGTGGTAAGACCACCCAAAAAGGAAAATCCCTGTTACTACATACCGCACCAAGCCGTGATCAAAATGGAAAGTGCGACAACGAAGACGCGTATCGTACTGGATGCTTCATCTAAAAGGAAAGGCGAACTAAGCCTCAATGATGTTATTCATCAAGGCCCACTTATTCTACCTAACTTATGTGGAATACTGCTGCGGTCACGCTTGGGGTCTAAAGTAATGATAGCGGATGTTGAAAAGGCGTTTCACATGATATACCTACAAGAATCGGAAAGGGATTCCGTGAGATTTCTGTGGCTGAAAGACGTAAACAAACCACTCACAACCAGTAATTTGAAAATCCTAAGATTCTGCCGCCTGCCATTTGGAATCAATGCATCTCCCTTCTTACTCGCTATGTCCATAAAATATGGAATAAGTAGACAAAAACAAGATGACACAAAAACTTATGAAGAACCAGAGGAAAATCTCTATGTGGATAACGTCTTACTAACAGCTGATGATTCTGAATCGCTCGTGAGAAAGTATCAACTTTGTAAAGCAGTTTTCAAAAACATTTCCATGAATCTCAGACAGTTTATGACTAATGACGCAGCATGCAACAGGTTGATCGACCAACAAGATCTATACAAGGGAAAGAACGTAAAAATTCTGGGAATACCATGGAATCCGCAAAACGATACCTTCTCCATAAGGTGCAAATTACGGTATGAAGAAGAGCCAACCAAAAGGAAAGTCTTGCAAGCCATACATTCTACATTTGATCCCTTGGGATACTTAATACCATTGCTGCTACAAGCGAAAGTTTTCCTGCAATCATTATGGAAAACGCGCTATGAGTGGGATGACCCACTCTCCCCAGATGACGAAACGAAATGGAAGACAATATGTGAGAATGTAGAAGGAAGCGGGGTAATGCTTCCGCGTCATATCTTGCAAGGGCAAAGAACAGACAGCTACGAGTTGCATACATTTGTAGATGCTTCAGCAACATCCTATGCAGCAGCCGTATACATACGGACGCTAAACAGATACGGCACAGTGCAATCAGGCCTACTAATGGCAAGACAACGACTCGCTCCTATGACCAGCAAGAACAAAAGAATAACCATTCCACGCTTAGAGTTACTCGCGTTACTGATTGGAACGCGACTAACTTCGTATTGAAACAGCTTTCATGCAAAGTCGATGTAATACGCATATATAGTGATTCACAAATCGTTTTGAACTGGGTCCAAACCAGTGAAAAAACAGAAACATTCGTAAGGAACCGTTGCAATGAGATCAGGAGAACAATAACAGAATGGCATAGCAATAGTAGGAAGGTTCATTTGCACTACATTAGTACAGAAACAAATCCCGCAGACTGTGCCACTCGCGGTCTAACTAAAGAACAAATAACAGGGCACTCATGGTGGTCAGGGCCACCTTTTATTGAGGCTAACACTGTCCAATGGGAAAGTTTCCCAGAGTATGTAATACAAGATGAACGAAAACCTAAGAACATTATCTTGAACCTGGCGCAACATACTGTAACTCCTATGGAACAAGAGGGCGATGAAAGGCAATTTATACTCCAGGAAAACTCGTTTTCTACGCTCACAAAGTATCGAAGAGTAATGGCTCTTGTAATAAAATTCTTGAAGGTACACATCTATGTAAAAGTCAATAATACAAGAAAAACCCGCTTAAACGAAGTTTTTCCTGAGTTAAAAACCATTACGAACGCCCGCCCACTATGCAAGCTAAATGCACAAGATTTGAAAACTTCAGAAAACATCCTCATCAAATTCATGCAGAAGGAAGTCGCTCAGGAGTACAGGAAAAAATGGGAAAATCTTTGCATTTACAAAGATGATGAAGGAATACTGAGATGTAGGGGAAGATTTGAAACCTGTCATCTGGGGAGGGATATTAGGGAACCCATCATTTTGCCCTCGAAACACCCCATGACAACACTTTTCGTAAAGGAAGCCCACAACAAGTGCGGGCACCAAGGAGTAAATTGTACTTTAGCCGAACTAAGACAACGATTTTGGATCCCAAAAGGTCGACAAATAGTCAAGAACTTTGTTAGAAAATGTATAACATGCAAACGTTGGAATAGCAGACCGTACTTCTATCCAAATTCCCCTCCGTTGCCTCATTTGCGCATCGAACCCTCTCGTCCATTCGCTCATGTCGGCGTCGATCTGGCGGGACCGTTCCGCATCATCGATTCCGAAAAACAACAATGTAAGAGATGGGTATTGCTCGCAACATGCATGACTACGCGTGCGGTACACTTAGAAATCGTAAACAATCTCAGCGCAAATGAAACAGTCAATGCTATCCGCCGACTAATTGCGAGGAGAGGAAAACCAGAAATTATCATATCCGATAACGGTACTAACTTTACATTAAGTAATGATATCTTGAAAGATTGCGAAAAGAAAATTTTCTGCGACAATGTGGAGGAATTTCTGACCACGGAAAAAGTAGAATGGAGATTCATTACACCACTTTCTCCCTGGAAAGGAGGATTTTATGAGCGGATGATAGGCATTATGAAAAGTATATTACGGAAATTTATGAGCAAAAGAAACATCGATGAAAGAAATTTCCTTACTCTGGTCACCGAAACTGAAGCTATGGTCAATATGAGACCGCTCACATATATGGGAAGCACTATCGAAGATTCAGTAATATTACGACCAATAGACTTTCTTATTCCCAAAGCAAATCTAACTTTGTTAGACCCACATGTAAAGAAGGCAGAAAGTGATCCTGATTATATTCCAAGGATATCAACGAAAGAAGAAGCAGAAGAATATTTCTGCAAACAACAAAGCTACCTCAACAGCATGTGGAAGCTTTGGATTAATCATTATATTTTGGAACTCGTAACTTTCACCAAAAACGAATAAAGCAGAAATTGTTTACCCGTCAAAAACCAACAATAGGAGAAGTTGTTTTTATTATGGACGACACCCAGTCAAGAGGAGAGTGGCCTTTAGGGCTAGTAGTCGAATTAATGGAAGACAACGACGGAGAAATCAGATCGGTGAAAGTTAAAAGCGCAAAATCAGTTGTGGAGAGATCAGTAAATATGTTAATTCCATTGGAAATAGACAACGACGAGAAAGTAGCGTATGAAAACAGAGTCCCAGAAAAGAATGAAAAATCAATGCCGGTGGATGTTAAACATCAAGACGACGTAAATGCCGCAGAACAACAAAATCATACAGCCAACAGAAAGCGACCATTTCTGGCACGCCGCGCAAAAGAAGGTAAAACATACGTAAACATTACATTGATTAGCCGTGCCGCAGAAACAATATCGAACGCAGGCGTGAAATGGCATCGATGGCTAACTCTTGCGATCATAACCCTATTGTGCGCAAATGCGAACGCAAAGAACAACCAAGACGTGCGCATGGAATGCACAAAGGGAGGAATTAACATTGGCACACGACTTTCATTTCAAGAGTTGCAAGTTTGTGGAAATGAACAATGTTTTGAACTTAAACAACCCGATATGAACATCACAATACAGTTCTCTCCAGAAGTAATCTTACACCCTTACTACGTCGCAGTAAAAGCTCTAACAACAAGTGGTACAGTATCCTCGCATAAACTTTGTCCACCGAGTCCATTCTGTGAACAAATAGACTGCAATTTTTGTAGCATTATGATTTCTAACCCAGAATGTTGGCCAAAACTAGCAATTGGAGTAGCAGGAATCTTACTTTATATGCTGATAGTAATTAGCTGTGTCACGTTATTCGTGGCAAAGAAAATATTGAAAGGAACTAAAGCAATGGTACATAAACTGTGCTTTGTCTTCATGATAGTAGACTGTCTCAGAAATCTTGTGAAATGCAAAAGAGAGGATACTGAATCTATACCACTCGTTGAAATAAGAAATGAAAGACGAAGGAAATGGGCTGCATCCACGATTGTAAAAATTCTGACCATAGCAGCCACCGTACACGTCACATACGGATGTCAACAAACAGTGATTATACCAACGGAGACTTCTCTATGTAACGACAGAGACAATAGTTGTGTGATACGAAAGACGGTATTAGCTAAACTTCAGCCGCTCCGACCAGAACTTTGCCTACACGTGCGACATCGTAATGAAACACAGCACATTTTGAAGCTTACTTTCGCTGGAATGTGGATGCAGTGCAGGAAGGAGACATTGTACTTTACTCGTAACACAGAAACACGAGTGCAGTACAGCAAAAGATGCCCCCACATGGGATCTTGTACAGGAAGCAAATGTGCACGTATTACTCCCGACAGCAAAGTTGAAGAACTTGACATTGCGAATAATTATACGGGAATAACCTTCTGCACGGAATCGTGCGGGGGTATCGGCTGCTCCTGTGGATTTCCATCCTCAGGATGTTTATTCTACCGTATATATCATGTTCCTATGGACGAAAAAATCTTTGAAATCTTCCAATGTCCAACGTGGTCGGAAATGGTAAGATTAAACTATGAGGAATCCCGCAGAAATCGCAAAGTAATGAACCTCAACAATGTCGGAGTAAAACCACACACCACGAAGCAACTGGGAAGTATAAGAGTGGAAGTTACTTCGGTAATGACATCACCGATCACAATAATGTCAAAAAGATTCGTAAGTGATGACCAGAACACAGCCTTCATCACTGAAGCTACAACTTTCAGTTATGCTTGCGATAAGAATCCTTTGAGAGACGACTCTACATGTATCATAGAAAATACATGCAAATGCAATCCAGCTGAAAACTCTGCGAACTGCTATTGCAAGCACAACAATGTAAGTGCTCTAATGAATTTAGCACATACTATGCCGATACCTCTACCAGGTGGCGGCGTTATAACATCACAAACCAATAAGGAACCGATGATATACACGGAAATGGCAACTGTGGAACTAGCTATAATGTTGGAAGCTACGGTAACTGAAATTAGTCAACATTACACTGACTTTACTTGCAATATCATACTTACAACAATACGAGGATGTTACAACTGCATCAAGGGTGCAGTAGCCGAACTGACATGTTATTCAGACGTTCCACACACAATCGCACAAGTTTTTTGTTCAACGCAACAATTTACACTTTCGTGCACTCCAGAGGGAGCAAAAAATGAAGTGCGGCTATTTTCAAATGTTGCAACAGTAAAAGAGCAATGCAAGGCCGAATGCGGAAATCATCGAACGCTTTTTGAATTGGAAGGAACGTTAAATTATATAAATGGAATGAAACCAATTTGGAAATATTTCAAAATAGGGAACAAAACAGAAGAATTGGCAGAGGATTTTACCCTTGTCCTGCCTGACATTATGCATTTCTTCGATATATGTAAAACATATTTCATCTATACGGTGTGCGTAATTACCAGTGTTACGGTCGTGACGCTTATCACCGCAACATATCTGCCTCGATGTTGGAGTTCTCATGAAAAGCAAAACGGCTTAAACATGATAATGCTCATGCCCACATTCCTTCCACTTCGAATTATTTATTTCTTCTTACACGCGCTGCGCAGGATGCTGCGCCTCATTTTTATGTTTCCCTTTAAGATCCTCAGATCGTTGTGGAAATTTTGCATTTGAAACTTTAGCATTTATGAAATTTTCATCTTGTACATAGTAGTAACTCATATTCCTTAGGAAATATTTTGCTAAAAACTTTCATCCTCCATGGAATTTTGTCGGCGTGATTTTGTAATTAGTAAATGAAAGACCAGAAAGCTGAAAACAGATTTTGCAGATGAATGAAGAGAGAGAGGAAAACGCTCCTCCACCAGAACAACCAGAACCAGTGAGACCGCCACCCGACTCCGACGAAGAAATGGAGGATCAGTTTGAAACCATCGGAAACGAAAGGGTCTTGGTGAACCCTGCAAGAAGAAGAGAACCGGAAGACCTCCAGCCCACTAGTGGCATAAGGGCAGAACTCATACGAATCAACGCGAGATTGGAAAGCATGGAAGGAAAATTAGCCACAATTGCGGTGAGTAATAAATTGTAAATCAAAATAAGTAAATAAGCGGGGGTTTGGTGAAATAAATTGAAAAATGAAGAGGGAGAATTTTATTCCTATGTCTATTGGTGGTTTTTAAGAATCGAAAAAGACCAATTGCCACTTATGGGGAATTCAGAAACTCAAAAAAGGTAAATAGCA